AACACTGGTTTCACAACTACAGCTGAGCCTTGTTTGCTGCCCCTGGAGTTATCGTGGGATGTGGAAACTATTCTCTATCACAAGAACGTGCAAATTCCATACTCCTCCCACAACGCACACGCTGTGGGCAGCGCTTTCCTTGCAGGATATTCCCGAAAGCAGCCTGGCGACTTGGGAAAGCCTTTGCCCTGTGTCAGCTTTCGTTGTGAACTTACAGCTTCCACCTTGGTCTCACCCTCCAAGAAGATCCCGTGCAGGATCCAAGGAAGGGGAAGCAGTTGCCACAGCCTGGCAAGGCGGCTCTGAACTGCGCCAGCATTAAAAGAAAAAAAACACATGCAAAACCCAGCCTAAGCTGCGTGTTGCTGGCACCCCAGTGGGAGCATGCAGAATGAGCCTGCTGTAACCAGGCACAAATTTTCCCTTAATACCTGTAAAAAACATGGTAGGAGCCAGCAACCACCCTCCTGCGCCGCTCAGCACCAGTGCAAGGCACGAGCCTGAGCTGCATTAACCCAATCAGGGGCACCCTGAATATTGGGAAGAGCATGTTTTGTCCTTTTCAGCCAAGATAGAAAAAATGACATTTTGGGGTGCTTTTTCTTCCCCCTGTTAATGGGCTCCTCTGTCCCTGCGCTGTATCTCTGCAAATGAGCCCCAAACACGATATGCATCTTCAGAGCCCAGTCTGCTGCACGTACAGCGTTTCCTCACTGGTCTGCTGAGAGCACAGGCATCACCTCCCCCTCTCCGAAATCAGATACTGCATATTCCCCATTTGTAACGGAGCCCTTCAGTAAACGCACCTCTTCCTACAGCAAAGGAATCGATGCCGCCGCATCCCAGAGCGCCTCCGGGAGCACCGAGACACGAAGGACCCATCCAGGCTTCCCAGAGCCACAGCAGACGCTATGCTGAGGTCCAGGTTTCCGTGCAAGTGTGGATGAAGACCTTGCACGTGGGCTCCCTCAGAATGGAAACAGGGCAAAAAACCACAGATAGTGGCAGACAGACCCAGCGAGGGGAAAAGAGCGTGGAGTCACCTGGAACATCAGGGGGAATTTGCTGTGGGTGTCAAAACCACGCTGCGACTCACAAGTGAAGGTTTGGGATTTTTTTTTTTCCTAGTAAAAGAGGGGTTTTGGAGACAAACCCTATTAATCCATAAGGAGGCTGGAAGCTGGGGCCGCTTCGATGAGCCGGAGCGCTGCCAGGCAAGACGCGCAGGAGGCCGTCGCAGACTTCGCTGCATTCCTCGTGTGCAAGTCCTGTAAACTGACCCCTCTTCAATTATTCATCAGAGGCTGCAGCTCATCAGAGCCCAGGCTCCTCCAACAGGCATTTATTTGTTGTGGGTTTCTCATTTAAGAGTTCAGGCGCTCGCTGTTAACTATCGCCCAGCCTTGCCAAGGACAAAGAGCAAACACTCTGGCAGGAAAAAGCTGGGCAGCTGTCAGGCGTTGCATTAAAAACCCAAACCATTTGATTACATCAACTGGCAATAGAGAACAGGCAGTTTAACTACAGGCTTCACAGGCTGAAAGAGCTGAGTGTCAAGAGCAGAGTGCAGAGGGGAAGGCAGATTTCCAGACCACGCTCGAGAAGTTCTGCTCCCACCATGTTATCCCAGGTGCTGCACAGGCCATGGATGTCATATCAGGATCCTTTTTTTGCAAGGAATCCCTCTTTGCTAGAAGGGATTTGCCGAGATACTGTCTCTTCTGCCGCTGAACAACCTTCTGATCCTTAGGAGAGACAGCAGCAGCTGTGCAAACACACCAGGCCTGTTCCAAAGGAGAGCATCTCATTTGTTTGATCAAAAAGCCTTCGTTACAAGAGGCCAAGGCCAGCACCGTGCCTCGTACGGAGGATCGCAGCACTGGGTATATCTCCTGCCAGCAAGGTTTGCACGTGGCCTGGCCCTGCAGCCTCCTCGCGATGGTGATAGTCCCTGGCCAAGAGCCACCACGGCCAGGGCATGAGGTGGGCAGGCTGGATTTGCCCCGCGGTGGCCAGCAGAGCCCGGGTGGCTCCTGTGCACAGGATGACAGGGACGAGGGCCGTGTCCCACCCTCTCGTGTGGCACGGGTAGAGGCCCCACGCGCCTGGCACCGCCGCCGCGTCGCCCGCGCGCCTGCCGCGACATCTCGGCTCTCTTTGGGAGAGGCTGCTCGTTCGCTCCCCTGCTTTGCGCTGCACCCTGTGATTATCAGCCAAGATCAGCCCTCCCAGACCCCCGGGGAGAGAGTGGGCAGGTTGAGCACAGTGAACCCCCTCCTCTGCTCCTCATTGTGAAATGATTTCACTGATTGCGTGTTGTACTTCCATGCGCACAGCTCCTCACCCTTGGCACGTTCAGGGAGACACACTCGCCCCTCAGCCCAGCTATGAAACCACCTCTGGAAGAGCTTTGATTTTCCACCTAAATCAGAGCCCTCTGTTGCTGCTCCCCAGCTGAACATGGAACAACCTTCCCGCTAACAGAGGGAATGAGCAGCGGGACCTGTCACTTAGCCCCTGGCACAGAGCAGCTCTGGAGCACAACACAGACCTTTTTGCCCAGCACAGGAGACGCTGCTTTCTGTGGACAAGCGTCCTGGCAGCCCTGGCTGTGTCCAAGAAACGGGAAAAATACGAGGTGAACAGAGCCTGAGCCCGCTCTGAAACGTGTGGGGTGCTGCAGGCATCACCGTGATTCATTTGCAACAAGGGCCCTCCCACTAGCAGCCCCGAACCCCTGTGCTGCCCGCGCTGCCGCCAGCCCAAAGCCGATGGCCCGTGCAAATGGGTCGAACACCAGCAAGAGCAGTCCCCGTCCTCCTCTCTCTTCCTGAGTGTCCTGCTCAGTTTAGCACCGGATTAGCAAGCTGGTGTGAGGGACGAGGCCTGACCTGCCTGCCTGCTCGCAAGCTCCTTACAGAAGGGAACATCTCGATCCGCCAAGCTCCAGGCATTAGCAGTCCGGCCTCCAGACCTGCCGCTTCCTCGCAGCATCCGTGCTGCAAAGGAACAATGTTTGCAGGGATTCCCATACCACAGTCCTCGAAAGGTGGGAATGCACACGAGGATAAAAGCCTTAGAAGTACCAGGCTATTTGGAGACCACATCCAGCCCAAAATTGCCCCTCACTGCACCAGGGGTGACCATGGCATCATGCTGCCCGCCCAAAGACCCTGGCAACAATCTTGTCCTACCAGGGTGAAGGTCCCAGTTCTTTTGAGAAACTCCTGGATTTCCTCCTTCCTAAGTTGCTTTGTTTATTGCCCAGCTAAATACAGATTGTGTTTCTGGCAGCATCCCGCTTATGGGGAGAGGGGGGGCTAGCACTTCCTAGCGGGTGTTGAGTAATCCCCACTGCCTGCCGCTTTAGGGCTATTTTTAGAGGAGATCACAGAATTAGCTGTGAAAGGATAACAGATACAGCCCGAATATAAAGGTGCCCGTTGCCTTTGCAGCTCTCCATGCGCTTCCATGTGCAATTTGTGGGCTACGTCAGAGATCCTGAACTTAAAAGGACACAACTCAAAACATTTCCTGCTGCTTTAGCTCTTCTTCTATAGTCCTTGCCATAGGCAAAACCAAGAAGCCACTTCCAGAAGCTGAGGATGATAATGTCTACCCCCCAGATAAACCTGGTCTAGTTCTGTGCTTTCCCAATCGGGAGCATCAGGATGAGTTAGAGAGCCAGAGTCAGCCCTGAAGCTCAAGGTATGTGTTTATAGCAGGGATTGCATTTGTCCACGTGCCGGTAGCATATGGACCTTGTACAAACTTGGAAAACACTAGGGAGGCTATTTCAGGAACACATAACAGAGCTTCACACATTTAAGAAGTTACCGAAAATGGGATGGTTAGACACTTGGCATGGGCATTTTGGCCAGAGTGCCTTGGAAAAGTGCAAAGCGGGACACCTGCCACAGCCCTCGCGGTTCCCGTTCTGACCCGCTCGGGATGTTGGACAACTTGCCTTGGTGCTTTATTTTTAGCAATTATTTTCAAAGCAACAGTTGCTTTTACAGGAGGGCAGTTTGGACATGTGTTCAAAGGCAAAAGGAACAAAGTCCCAAGTCTCAGGGACTCATATTCCAACTGGAATATAACCAGAAGAGATGGGGTTTTTTTTGTTTTTTTTCCACCCAAAGATGCACACTCAGTGAAGGAACACGACAAATACTACTCTCAGGGGCGAGGAGCACACAGCATTGAGCAGAGTTCTCTGACCCACACCAGATTTCTTGCAGGCCGCTGCGAACCCGCCAATTCAGCAACGGGGACAGAAATGCAGAGCAAGGCACTGAGATGTCAGAGCAATATTAGAAGCCCAACGTGAGTTTCTGGACAAGAATTGGCTAAGAAGCAGACAATTATTTTTAACCTTAAATGCTGGTAACCATTTTGACTCCCAACCAAACAACTAGAAAACAAGCCAACAAGCAAACAAACAAAATTCCAGTGAAATAAGTTTCCACGTCCTTTACTAGAGAAAAGGACGATGATTCAGAGTGGCCATAGGGCACTTGCAGACTGCAAGGCATGGGGCAAGCTCTGGCCAAGCCCTTCAGCAAGGTCTCCCAAGCCAAGGCAAACACGTCGTGCCACTGCTCATGGTCACATATGTATAGAAAAGGAAATCTTGAAATGTGCTTTCCAAGTACTGCCCTGCACAGGCTCTTGCAGGACAGCCCTCGCTCCTGATCTGCTCCTATCCCACGTGCTGGACTGAGGTTGCTCTTCCTGGGCCAAGTTTGGGATCGCCTCGAGCGCTACTTTGAGGGAAACTTTCCAGATGTGTTTGGATGGCCAAAGAGGCAGGAAGAAAAGCCTCTTTTTCATCGTCCCCTGCCCCATCCATGTCAGTCCCTCACACTCATCCAGCTTACAAAGCAGCAGATTATAGGATTTAAAAATAGTCTTCACAAAGTCAGCTCGCACCCTGCATGCAGGGCAGGAGGGTGAGCAAAAGGGGATGAGCAAAAGACGGGAGACAGCTGTGATCTTACCTGGGACGGAGGATTCCCACCTTCCTCTAGCACCGCCTGCCCATTCTGCAAAGCAAGAGAAGGCTCCGTTAGCGAACACCCAGCACGGGACCCGCCCGGCACTCTCTCGTACTGCTCAGTTCTCGAGACAGACATGCGGCATGGGGAGAAGAAACAGCAAAAAAGTCCTTCTGCCAGGAAAAAGCCCTTGCAGACATGGTTCTGGGATGAGCTGTGCCTCCCCGCTCTCCCCAGCCGTTAATTAAGGCCTCTTGGAGCGTCACCCTTTTGCTCCGCAGCCCTGGGTTGAATACGCCCGGCGCATCCCACGCTCGCTCCGCACGCTCACATCGCTGCAGGCAGCTGGGAGACCGAGGAGAGATGAGGGCACTTTATAGGCACCCTGGCAGCCTGGCCCCTGAGCCAAGCTCTGCTGCTGCAGCTCCTGAGCCGAGTGCCAACAAGCGACCCAGGCTGTTGTGCGCAAGGACTTCAGGGTGGTCGCGCTTTGGGTTGAACCAAAGGTGTATCCAGCTCAGCACCGTGCCTGGAGGAGCCAGCGGGAGCAAAGATGGACAGATCTGTTTGGCTATAGATGTTCGGAGCATGGGGAGAACATACCAAAGGCTTCCCCCAACTGCAGAGAGAAACAAGGGCAGGAGGATTTTGCTTTGATATCTGTCCACGCTGCAGTCACAGGCTGCAAAAGTTCAAGTCCTCGCGTCCTTTGGAAAGTAAAGAACCAAAGCAATTAATTCGTCTTTTTCTTTTCTGGCCCAAGAGGAAGATGCAGGGCAGTTAGAGTGCAGCTTCAGATTCCCAGTTCGGTGTCTGGGTTTTACAACCTTCCAGGAGTTTTGGAAACCAGTTTCTTCCTGAAGAAAGCAAGGAGACTTCAACTTGACATGCCTTAAGAGTGTGTTTGAGCTTCTTCTACCATTTGGGCTACATTTATTTCATTTCCTTTTAACCCAAAGCAAAGGAAGACTTGCAGTTATTAATCCCCAGAGAGCTTCTGGAGCCACTGGGACCACCTGATGCCTCTGTAGGTTTCTGCTGCATTCAAAGGCTGCTTCCAGGTTCACGTCCTTCTGTTTCCCAATGCCAGCCCTGCAACAGGTTCATTTAGCTGTTCCGAGCCTCCTGTACCAAGTGTAGCAGCTTTTCATTTCCTACCTATTTTCTGCCAATGATCCCCCCCAAAAAATACCCCAAAAAACCCAGCAGCTGCAAGCCAAGTTGTTCCAGAGGAGCCTGGTGTTTACACAGAGCCTTGGTGCCATTAGCACAAAGAATATCTGAGAAGTGAAGTAAGGTTTTGTGTTTAAACGCGTCCTCCACGAAGCGCGGGGAGAGGCTCCGCTCGAGATAGCTGGGCTTGGAAATGCCGTCGTGTTTATCGGCTTGCCTGCCACTCACCAGCGGTTCCTAAGTTGCTGCTAATCAAAACCTTAGCTCTGGGAGGGCTGTTTATGTCTCTGTCCCACGAGAAGTTGAGTTTCCGTGTCCAGCGGGGAAACGGAGCCTGGTTTGTGCTCTGGAGAGAGGATCTACACGTGCCGGGAAAGGGGAAGAGCTGGAGCGCGGGATGAGCTCCTTCCTGCCCGTGGGAGGATGAGCACATGGAGGGTGAATGCAGGGTCCATTCGACCCTTTGGTTTCAGGACCAGGAGACACCAGATGCCGGCCCTGGACCTGCCAGATTTCCTCCAGATGAAAGACGAGGGCTCGGAGCAGAGCCGGCACTTGCCCTTTTGGTCCCTAACTCAGCAGCTTTGCTCCATTTCATCCCCCAACCCCTGCTGCAACAGCCGCTTTGCCTCCCTCTGTTCTCATCACTCTAAAGAAGTTCTCTTGACCACACTCAGGAAAGTTTGCTGGAAAACAAGTGCATTCCGTTACGTAACTGCCACCCTCGCCTGAACTTGGAGATATTTATCTTTAGGACATCTAGCTTTTTAAAGCCCTTTAATTCCACCTAATCCCCAGCACAGAGGGCAGTTGACAGAATCGTCCGCTGCCCCTTTGGCCTGCAAGGAGGGCGATTGCCCCTAGCTCTTGCCCCCAGCTTCTACATTTGGGCATCCCAAGGATGGAGCGGGGAAGGCAGCCCTCACCCCTGGCTGGCCACACGAGCAAGACATTTCGGTTGCTGCTTCTGAAGTGGGACGTAGGGCTCCTGCCTGGTGCAGTTGGGAGAAAAAGAGTCAAAACTCGAGACCTGCAGAGGCAGCACTGTGGCCCGGGCAGCCCGAGGAGGCAGCAGCACAAGGCACACCAGAAGCTACAGTCCCACAGCTTCCTCCTGCAGCCTCCGGCGGTCGTTTTGCCCGTTGTGCGGCTCGGATACTTGGGAAAGCTAGCTCCTCGGGAATTGTCCTGCTCAATACAGGAGGATAGGTAGAGTAAGCAAAAATACCAAGCTCAGGGCAGAGGGGTGACCTCACGGCCGTTGTGTTGCTGCGCGTTCGCGTAAGGACACGAGCGTTTAGGGGAGAGCAGAGCCGGGGTGACCGCTCGCATCGCTCGGGTGGTGACGGCCCTCAGCCCCGCTCTGCCGCCTGCACTCCCGCCCAGCCGGGTGTTCCAGCTACATAAGCAGTGCTGGGAACGATGGAAGCTGGGTAGGGAATGAGCTGGGGGAGACGGTGGGGAAAGGAGCTTGGCCCCCACAACAGAGATGGGTCCAGCAACCTCCTCTGCAATGGATCCTGTCTCCTGCTCCCGCGGGTTTTCCACAGAGCGGCTCCAAGCTGGCCTCTGGCAGGCCGGGGCATCAGGCACCAGGACATGTGCGGAGCGCAGGGACCGCTGGCCATGGAATAACCCCAAACGTGGGGACGGCGGCACTGCCGGCACGGCCGCAGCACCTCCACCCTGCTGCAGGAAGCAGAGGCAGGAGGAGGCCGGGCGAAAGCCCCGATGGCAGCGATCCCAGGGCGCTTTACGTAACTCACATTCCAGAAAGGTCTCCACCTTGCCCAGGAGAGGCTGGAAGCGCCTCCCCGAGGCCCTGCTCTCGGCAGCGTTTACCTCACAAGACGCAGGGATGCTCCCGAAGCCACGTCCCTCTTTGCGCCCTGTGTTCCCGCTGCGCAAGGAACGCGCCAGCATCCAGCACAGGCACCAGCAGCCGGCTCGAGAGGTGAGGAACATCCACCCTATTTTCTGCATTGGACATGCGCCTGCTGCCCTGAGCCCGAGGAAACTGCAACCATCCTGCTCGACGCAGAGCCGCAGCCCCACGGGGGCTCAGGACAGCGATTCCCTGCAGCATCCCACGCCAAACGCTCCAGCCCTGGAGCCGCCCTCAAGCTCCAGCCAAGGTGAGATGGGGGAAGGGGACACCGGAGAAGTGAGAGCCAGGCCCCGAAGTCTCAGCTTACAGTTAACATGTTGGTTACTTGACCGAGGGGGAAAAAAGCCCTGGCTAAAGGGCCATAAGCTTCACAGCTGACTCCAGCTGACAAATATATGGGCGCTTCCCGCACTGCTTCCGCTCCGGAGAAACCTCGTGACTGGGACCCAGCCAGCTGACTGGCACCTGAAGGACAGAGGATTAAGTGGTAACTGATCCCGCCGATGGCATTCGTTGCCCTGGGCGCTGGCGTTAGCTCTCTCCCATGATGAGTTTAGTTTTGTTATTTAGCCTTTCAGGCTATCTTCCTATTTAGGAAAAAAAGGAAACGACTAGCTTCCAAAGTCCTGTCTTCTGGCTCTACCTCCTCTGCGGCCATGGATGGGCTCCGGAGGCATGATGGGGTTTCGGGAATCCCGCTCCTGTTGGCACAGACGGAGCAACCTCCCTCCTATCTCAGCTCCGAGCACAGACACATCCCGGTGGCTCCAGCGCCGCTTCCGAGCCGGCTGCAGGGGCATCTGCGCCTCCAGCCCAGGTGAAAATGAGGCGAGCTCCCTGCTTTACTGTCTGTTATCACTGCAGAGAGGGCGAAACACCGTCTCTGCTGAAGGCAAAGGTCTTTTTTAACAGGCAATTTTCAGTAGGAGCCAGCAAACGGGACCACTCAACAGTCACAACATCTCTAGGCACGAGAGGAGGTAACGAAGCAAGACAGAAAGCACCAAGTAGGGCCAAAATGACGGGAGATGCCAGGGTGCAAGGGAAAGGTCTGGAGCAAAAGCCACAGCACCTACATCGTTTGCTCAGGAAAGATCCCGGCTCTAACCTGGAGTAGAAGAGACGTAGCCAAGCTCCCTGCGGGTGGCTTTGGGGTGGGTGGGAGCTCCTGAAAACTGCGCTTTTACCCCCAAACGGTTGTGGCACAACAGACGTGCACAGGTGAGGCACCGAGTCCGGGACACGGAGGGCTGAGGCCGTAATTAGGGAGGGGAACAAAGCAAAGCAGCTGCCAAAGTACTCGGGGAGCGCAAGGGGCTGCCAGGGAGTCTGGAACCCAGGAGAGCCCGTCCGGGCAGCCGGGCTGGGAACAACGAGGGAGCGTGGAAGGGCAAGCGCCAAGATGCGAGGTGCCGCTTCCCCGGCGCTCGGGCAGGGGCTGTCCCCCCGCCCCCGGCCCGGGCAGGGGTTGAGGCGCCCGCGGAGCCGCCGCAGCCCCGCGGGGCGCCCGTCCGCACCTCGCCGCCCTTCCCCGCGCAGCCCGCGGGCC